ATATAGAAATATATAACTATAAATATGTATACAGAGTGAATCAGATTCGTTGAACCAACATTTTACTCTATTAGAAAATTCTCGAGTTTATATCTAATTGAATTATAATGTGTGCAGTCAATTATTTTCTTTTAGGGTAGAAAGCTGGTTCAACGACTCTGATTCACCCTGTATATATATATATATATATATATATATATATATATATGTTAGTGATATTGTACTATATTCGTTAAATGCACTGTAAAATCGAGACCTCGAGGCGTGTTCCCTCGCAAAACTGTCTCGACTCTGTTGCAAAAATATCGACAACATTTTTCACTTCCGATCTATTTTTTATATGGTATAGTGTGTTGCATCGGATAATAAATTGCGACAACGTTGCAAATTGTTGCATTGGGAAAGTGTCATACATGATACAGACTTTACAAACGATAATTATTTAAGCCTTAAGATTACTACCGTGTTATACTGACTTTGTAACTAACAATGAGAGAGCTAACTAAAACCTTGTAAGGACAATCAGTGTCAAATTAACGTTTGTGAAAATGTTATGCTATCTCTACCACTGAAGATGATTTTTACCAAGCATTATGGAGGACGTGTTAATTGTACTATTATTAGCGGCTAGAAGAAACAATAGATACATAATAACGTCTTAATGCGATTTCTATGTCAAAATAGAATTCTAACGAAACATTTTTCAGTTTACAGCTTTATGATCTTTACAGAACAATATGCTGATTTTTCAGTAAAAATCGTGCTGTTTTCCTATACGAAGACGGCTCACAGTTGTACGCAGTCAGTTCATTTCAATGTTCAGTGTAAACATATCCATCTTAATTTCAGTGTAAATGTGTCTACAATTGTCTCGCGCCAAAAGCACTGCAGGATACTCGCAAGTATTTCGTAAGAGTGTAGATTGATTAGTATTCACCGATGGATTACGTTATAGAAATAGAATTGGAAATAGTTTTTCATTTATGTTTTGCTTTTTTCTTAAACAATTACGGTTAATTTAAATATTTTAAGTTTAATGACGTGAAGTAAATTCAGTGCGTTCTATTTCGATGGTCGAAGTTTTTATAAAACTATTCTTTGTATGTACAGGTTGCGTAGAATTAAAAAAAGATTTGATCGGTAGAAAGTACGCGCATAAATTTATTTCAGAAATTCAGTCGAAATTGCATCCAGAAAACAATGGCATAATGATGGTTTTGCGTGTTAATTTGCAACTCAATGTAACGCATTTAACTATTATTTCCAAATTGACGTGCAAAAACTCGTAATCCCTTAATTGTTTTCCATTTTCACCTCAATTGATTTCTAATGAAGCAACTATAAACACGTGTTTTTATGGCGTAAGAGTTTTTACAATTTTACGCCACACTAAGGATAATTCTAGCAAAATTACAGGATTATTCGATTGAACAAACGGATTTCCTTAATTCAATTTAAATTATTTAAAAAATACAAAGTTTGTACATTCAAAAGATATTAGATTCAATATTTCACAAATATGTTTATAAAAGAATTATACACTCAAAAAATTCTTATTAATATTCGCAAGATAAAATGTATTAATTATTATTATTATGATTGTGAAACTTTAAAATGTGCGTTTGTTGTAATGAAAATAAGATGTTTCATTCTTTTAGAATTACTTAGCATAATGAATTATATATATAAAAAAAAGGAATTTTTAGTTAATAATACAAAAAAATATTTTTTTTAATTTCCATTTAAATATATCTCCTTATTCTTAATATTATAAATATCTTAATAATAAATGTTAAATTATTACTTTATTAAATATTTTTTTCAAATTATCGAATTGTTTTATTATGATATGAAATTACCATCATTTTTTAAATTAGTATTTATAAAGACTTTATATAAAAGAAAATAAATAATGTCATTTCGCCTCGGGGTTGACCCGAGGTGAGTCATTTAATTTTCTTATAAAGTATATAGAGCAATTGTAATGTCTGTTCTCTTTTGAGTCTTTACAATGCTGTTTGGATTGTATAGGCGGACATATATTATATTATATTTTCTGCTGTATGTTGCAAAAATGACCGCATAAAAACGCTTGCATAATGTATAATAATTATGAGACAAATTTGAGTGACCATAACAAAATTGTGAACGTAAACGAACGAGGTATAATAAAACGAATTCGAGATGACTTCAGTATTTTAGCTTGGTTTAACCGACGTTGAGGAAAAGTTTGTAGCTGAAATTAGTGCGAAAGATGCACGTTACGCGGAAATTCAAGGAAATTACAGTTGCTTACAACCGCATAAGTTTCTAAAGTGCCAGGATACACGCGAGCAATAAATCATAATTAACGAATTCCGCAACCGAGAAAAATTTTCACTAGTGAAATCTATGAAGAGCTCGTCGAAGGTTTGATCTCGTTTCATGTGTATTTGTTATGATCTGGTTCATGGTGAAAACGAATTATTTATTTACATGTTTGATGCATGAAATGTCACGAAATGTTACAAAATATTTCTCTAAAAAAATTCTCCCTTTTTTTTATATCTTATTCTTAGTATTATATACAATTTATACATTAAAATAAAATTGTTAACAGCAAAGTTATGTAGATAACATTATGGGATTCTAGTGTGTCATTGACGTAAAAATATAAGAGAAAAAGGGAGCACGATTATGTAAAAATAAATCCGTCGTTATTTGATTTATTGTGAGATATATTATGAGAGTGACCAGAGTTTTTAAACTGACATCAAACTTTTTCAAATACGTCTAATTCCACTCGGTACGGGGGCATCACGTTATTTTAGCTATGTCACTCGGGGCTGACGCATCGTAGTTGCGAAGTGGTACGCGTAAGCTTAACGTCGCAATTTAACGTGCCGCATTTCGCAGAGAAGTGCATAGCAATCCCACAGCCGGTACTTTTAACGAAGTCGGCGAGTAATTAATCGAAAAACGCGGTGTAATTACGGTTACGTCAAGAGACGCAGTCGTTGAAATTGCGTTTATAGAGAAATGTATGATTCTTTTATCACGGCTTGTATTGTTCATCAAAATGACAAATCCAATTAAATATGCTAGAAAAATTTGTTTTTTTGTTTTATACAATATTATTTTATACAATATTTATTTGAAGAATTATACTTTATAAGTTTCTTTGATTTTTCTCACAAAATATCAATTTCCTTCTATTGCTTCTATTAACTTACATTACGCATAAAATATAATATAATAATACAAATTAAATTATTGCTTTATTTTATTTTAAAAGTTGTTTCTAATATCACAATTGAAAGCGTATTTTATATAAATCAATAAAACATAAGAGAAAGAGAGATTGTGTGTGCAAAGCAGAAGTTGGGATGATAAAAAATACTTTTGTGCTAACTCGAAACATAGAGAATTTGGATCATATAGCTTTCAAATTAACTGTGAAGTTGCATGATTTCGCGTTCCTAGATACGCTGGAAAAAGTTAATACAACTTTCAGTCAGAAGGTTAATTCGAATTAGTCTTTTTACGAGAACTGACTCATTTTACCGGGCTACAACTTACTTTATATAATTAATAGACCCGGCATTATTAATTATATGAAGAATTTAAATAGTCAAACATTTAAAGAATAAGTATATCGAACAGAGGACGATTCCACTTTGATGACCTTAATTTTGACACATTATCGACATATTTATCAGTATATTTATTAAACCTAACTATATTTTTCATTAAATTTATGCGCACTAATTACCGCGTAAACTCCCGCTTCCTTTTAAATTCTCGTCCTTAATTTGTTACATATTAATAAGGTTATGATCCTAAGTAACCTCCGAGAAGTTTTACCTGTCGATCGTTATTCGTTAAAAAGTTAGTAATAAAAAAAGTTACTTAATAAATAACGTCTTATTTTTGCTACATACAATGTTAAAAACTATTCTAAACCTGCCCTCTTTGCATAATGACTTTCCACGCGAAAGGAGGTCCACCCCGCCTCCCCCTACGAGCATCTGACTTTTCACGTGAAGCGAGGTCCACCCCACTTCTCCTCATGCCTAAAGGTGCACGACTTTCTACGCGAAGTGATGTCCACTCCAAACCTAAATATGTTTTGGGTTTGATTATTCTTTGGACCTTACTTCGTGTGGAAAATCGTGCACCCCTAGGCAGGGAGAGGAGTCAAATTGACTCGAGCGGCGCGTTTACCAGGTCATCCCTATTTCCCGCGGCTCGCGCGTCGAGCGATCGATGCGTGTACATTTGGCGATAGTAGGCCGGGAGGGCGCGCGTATTCAGCTATCTTTAAAAATTAATATTTCGTCAAGGGGATGCTGGAGCCGCTTGTATTACCGATTGTATTATTAACCAGCGTTTTTGACGTTTTTGTTTCTGTCGAATTTCTTCGTAGTAGTCTCACAGAATAAAAATTCCTTTTTCATGATTAAAATGTACATGCTGATGTACTTGTCGCTGGTGTATTTATTGTGTTCAAAGCTGGAAAAAGTAAAAGTTGCAGATTTCTTTATCCATTTTTATCTCAGTTTATAGCGATCAACTGGTGAAGGTAAAATGGATAAAGAAATTTATAATTTTTTATTTTTTTCAACACAAAATGCACCAGCGACAAGTACATTAGCATGTATAATTTAATCGTGGAAAAGGAATTTTTTTCTGTGAAAACACTTCTTCGCGGACAGGAACAAAAACGACAAAAACGCTAGTTTTTATCGGTGTATATAATACAGGCGACTCCGGCATCCCCTTACGGGTCTGTATTACCGACTTAAACGCAATCATTTTTGTCTAACAATTACTTTTTTCCTATTGAGGTGGAATTTATCGAGAACGAAAAAAATTGTTTAAATTGAGATCTTCTTTGTCATTTCTTAGTCCAATATGGCATTAGAGCCGACAATATTGTAACAACATTTACTTAATATAAATTATGAAAGCTTTGCAATCTGTACTTACGAAATCATGGTACAATTGGTAATTTGTTTCAGAGTATCCTACAGCAGTGACGGCTGAAATAGTTGATGTGAACATGAACTCGTTGGACGGCACGACGGGAAAGCCATTAGATGTCGATCTGCCACCAACCCTGCCGATGACCTTCGGTACGGAAAATTCAACATCGGTTTCAGCGCAATCAGGATCCACTGCCCTGATGCCTTGCGTTGTCCACAATCTAGGAGAAGGCACGGTAAGGGTTGTTGTTTGAAATTTGTAATTCATTGATTGACGCATGCGAATTTTATGTATAAATAAGCGGAATATAAATACTATATTCGATTTATTTATTTACTATTCTGAAAGTATCAATAAAATAAAATTTATCACATAAAATTTATCATTGTACAGACAGCTTTTTTAACACGTTATTTTTTTTAAACTGAAAAATTTTATTCGATTATTTATAATATCCCAGTAGAAGATTTTTCATATGTATATAATTATATATGCAATATATAAATTATATACAATTATACTATAAAACTGTACATGAAATATATATATATATATTATATATGTATATACATACACATATAACGTCTTGCTCGGCGTCGAGTGATTCTGAGCTGCCTCTATACCGGACATAGGCAGTCTATCAATTATTATCTTTATTCTCATCGGTCGGCCAGTTCCTTCAAGTCCCAGAGCTCGTTGATGCGTCTGCTATGGATTCCCAACGAATTCACCTTCTCCAAAGTAAAGCGGCGTCAGGTTTTTCGGAGTATCCTCTTCTCCGCTTCTTCTGCGAATTGTAGACAAGATCGCAGTTGCAGACTTCGCTCTAATTCTTTCTTAATGTGTATTCAAGCCAACAATTTTCTCCTCGTTGTCCAGTGCAGGCTCACAGTGTTTCATTGCTCATAATGTTCGGCCAGAAGATACGGAGGATCCCCCGAAAACAGCAGTTGACGATTCTTCGCTGGATTCTTCGCTTGATTGCGTCTGTAAGATCTCACATCTGTATGAAAGTGCAAAGATTACATACGATCAAAAGATGTCTAAGCGTATCTTGATACGTAGGTGATAAAACGCTATATTTTGCTTAGTTGTACAAAAGCATTGGTTTTCTTGACCCTAATTCATCTTTCCATCTTTAGCAGTACCGCCATCTTCGGTAACTATACTTCGGTAACTATACCAGGTACAAGAACTCGTCTATTCGCTCAATTGGCAATTTATTGAGCTTCAACGGTCGGCTGAAGTCTACATTTGGATTCGCATCAGTAAGCCCATTCCCTTGGTCTTTTCGTTGATTTTGAGATAGACGACTCCATCGTTAGTTTTTGCTGTACGTCATTGATGTTGTGTGACAGCTCGCATTTGTCATCCGCATAATTCAAAGATTTCGCTTATTTGATCTGAGGGGCTTCCATACGATTCCTCTCGACTTGTTTTCACATGCCTCGCTACCGCATCTATGACGATCAGAAACAGTAATGAGAAAAACAGGCAGCCAGAAATGATCTCAAATGGTTCTTACAGAGTCCTTCCTCGTATAGAACGCGACAAATTGAAATCATTAATTTTTCATATAAGAAAGACGATTTTTGGATAAGAAAGACGCCTATATTACTCAACATGGCCCATTCGCAATTGATGGAGTCGAATATCTTCTCGTAATCGACGAACAGGGGATATCTACGAACAGAGAGCATTTCGACAGACTGTTTCTGAGCGTGTTAATTTAGTCGATGCGGAATCTGCCAGCTCTAAAGCCTTCCTGTTCTGGTCTGAGCTTTCCCATCTATAAGCTTGATCATTTGCGCCAGAATCACTTTCATGAAAATTTCCATAGCAACGTTTAAGATGTTGATGCCATACCAATTGTTACCATCAACGTTCAAACAACGTTCGTAAGAAAAACGAAGAAATCAAAAGATCCACATGGTGGCATTTTACTCATTTTTTAACATTATCGTACTTCTTTATTCTTAATAGTAAAAATGAAAATATAATATTTATTTACTATCATATACAAATAATACATAAAAGAAGGAAATGAAAGAAGAAGGTCGGTATACAGAAGCACTCTGAACTGAATAAATAATTATACAAAAATCTAATTTCTCTTAAGTGTGGATAATCTCCTCACTTATCCTAATATTAAATGTATTTGTTTAACGTATTTCGCATGTGTTAGACTTTCTATCTAAATCGAGTCGCTTATTTGGAAAGTTGTATAAATTCAGTTTTGAAACATCATGCATTTCAATGAGATGTGAATATGAACCAAAACGCGACACGCTGATCACAGTCGGATTTTCGGAATTGAAGTTATACCATCTCCAAAATGGATTGGTATTCGAAATGTCGCGTCGATATGCCATTAAAAAACATGCTGATATCTGCGACATAACGAGATTTTTTTACGAGAATAGAATAATCCAAACACATTTAGAAAAATTTAACACGGCACGTGCAGCTTTGCAACGTAAAATTCCGTGGTTTAATCTCGCTTTAGAAGAACGTAATTCGTGGCAAGAAAATAAATGCAGCGATTACAAGTTGAAGCGCTGTTTAATCCGATATCTTTACAACTGCATTCAGGGTTTCTTACCTCCGCCATCGCGACTTTACAATGTAGTAGCCGTGCAAGAATTTCTCTACCGATTGGTATCAGATTTGTTACAATATTGTTATCAGATTTGTTTTTTTTTTTTGTTTACATGATAATTTTGCTCGCGCGCATATCAATGCAAAGTTTTTCTTACGAAAAACGGTGACGTCGATGAAGGTGTCTAGAATGAAATATTTCCGCGCGCGAAGAATGTACGAATAATCGGTTGAAGTCTGTTGAAACACTAAAGACATTGTCGTTGTTCCAACGGGTGGCTGTTAGCTCAGCCTCATAACTTAATACAACTGGCATTTGGCCGCAATGTTGCGCTGATTTAACATGCGACGCAAACACGAAGCAATACAATCAAATAGAGTTTAATGAACCATTTAATGAACCTATTGCTCGTTCAACTTCATTTATCACTATATGTGCGTGTCATAGTTGGGTAACGTAGGATATCAATTATTAGCTATATGTAAAATAGTTGACAATTTATGCATAAAAAAATATTACAATATATAATTCATTATTCAAAAAGCATCAAAATCAATTGACAGCATTAAACTCTGTATGATTTTTCTTCACCGAGTTACTCAACATTGAAGCAAAAACAACTTTTTTGCTTCAATATTATGAATAACTCAATGAACAAAATCGTACAGAGCTTAATAAAGAAACAATTTAAAGATAAATATTCACTCTTTCGAATAATGTAAATTTGTGCCGCATTTGTGTACAATTTTTAATTTGGAACTTTGCAAATTTTGTAAAAAATTTTGAGATTTAATGCATCTTCATTTATGTTTGTGTAATTCTATAAAATATCAATAAGAGTGTTTTCTAAAGTACCGCTCTGAAAAGTAAAGATTTCGCAAGCCTCAATAATCTAAAGGCTTAGGACCTTCGTACGGAATATAAGAGATTTGGGTTCGACTCCCGGCCGAGATAATATTTTTCACAATAAATTTATTTATAGTTTTTTTTAGCATATTAACATTTTTTTAATAGGATGCCTTTTTAATAGGATTGAGCATCAAATTATTAAAATTGCTTGTTAATTTAATTCGTGATATTACTACAGTAGTTTAATTGCGTTTATAAGTTTGGAAAATCTATTCGGTGCTCAATTTGAATGACAAAAAATATGGTATATGCAACTACATATATAATATATAAATATATAGTAATTCAGATTAAATTATTTAAGCATTAAAGATCTAGCCTTGATCGTTCCGGCCATTACTTCTATTTCTTATCAGTATATTTTAACAGCCCCAGTGGAATTTTTTTGACACGATTTTATTCTTAAAAATGGAAGGCACATTGTTATTACATCTACATAAGAAGCCGTTTTCTTCATACTGCTGAAGAAACCTAACAAGTTGCAATAATAATCTGGAATCGATATAAAAAAATTAGGTGAACGTGTAACATGTAATTTACGTATCAAACAAAAATTTAAGTGAAACATCTTACTGCCAGATACGATATCGGTACGGAAATGGAAAAATCGAGTCTAAATTGCGAGACGTGTATTGCTCCTAAAAATGATTGGAATTGTTCGCGCGGTATCTCGTTTGTCAGTTATGCGGCCATTCGCTATCGTTCTCACTATTCCTCGGGCGATGTTCCGGAAGTTATTACGGAATTATTACACCTTTCCCACGAGCGCTCGAGAATAATTGGCGCGTTATAGGACAGAGGAGAGCAGGCGCGCGTGAGTCAAATGGATGCAGGTAGAAATCGATAGGGACGGTCTTGTCAAACGACTCGCTCGGTTGTTATACCTATCTGGCTGTCGTTGTCCGATGCTGCATCGTTCCGCGAACATATAAGGTTTCATCGCTGCAAACTGGAGTGAACAAGATAGCAAGATAACGCAACGAGGGAACGCCGAGAATTTACAAAGAGAATCCGAGAGAGACCGTAATAAGGATACATATGCGCTTTTTTTCCATTTCATCGAATTGATATTTCAGAGAAAATTAGATACACGTAGTAAACTCATCACGATGCTGGTCATGATGCGGCAGTGGTGGCATCATTACTGCTATACAACACTACGAGAATCTTGTGCATACGTTTACAGTCACGATAGACGTGAATTATGATGCGGCATATAGATAACAATGAAGATAATAAATGATCTATCGCTTCTAGGAAAATATATTTCTCTTATAAGTAAAACTTAATTGTTTTTTTCTTTCAAATAATGATATTGAGATAAGACAAAATTTTTCTTGTTTTGCGAGATATTTCGTTCAAACGTTAAGATTTTTTTTTTTTATATTTGTCTAATAGTTTGAACTTCGAACAAATCAAGATTTATCGTTAAATATAAATGATAGAATTTCCATTAAAGTTTACAAGATGTAAACATATTATACATAGTAAAAACTATTATGTATATACATATGTGTTAAGGTTTAAAACCTTGTCCAACATTATCCAACTTTTTTGTCCACTTATCCAACATTTTTGTCTTGTAAATTTTTAATAATTAATTTTGTGTTAAATTAATGTTCAACATTTCTTACTGTTAAAATTATCCAATTAATAAATGAATGAATAAATAATAAAGATATGTAGTGCACTTTAAATTATAAATTTTAATGTAAATAATTAAAATA